TTTGACATTTAGGGGGGTACATTATAGTAAAGGGATGGAAATATAGAGCTCCTGCCCTAACACTTTCTACGGNTTGGCTAGTAGAGATAGAATCCAGTCTGCTGTACAATTGAAAAAAAAAAGAAATTAGGAGGGTTCAGAACATTGCATGCTATGCAAGTGCTGGAGGATTCGCAACATATTATCTCCAGTTGATCTGCAGCAAATGGTGTGTTATTAGCGATGCTTTGGGTTGGCAAAGTTCTCCTTTCTCTTTTGATCATTTCTTTCACCTTGTTATTGGGAGAGCTGGGCGTAAAAGAAATAGAATTCTTGTATGTGTGTTGGCTGTTGGCAGTTGTGGTTATTCAGGAATGACATTATGTTTAGAGAGAAAGTTTACATTCACCCCTAATAATTGTTTTTCGAATTCTGTTCCTTATGCAATGGAAGATCTTACTGAAGTCATCTGAAGCAGAAGAAATGGAAGCTCTGATCATGGTGATCCAAGGCACTGGACAAAATTTGAGGACTATCAAGATCTGGAGTTGGTTGCGATTTGTCTTTGGTTACCGTTTATTTGTGGTTGTCACTTTAGCCTTAGCCAGGTGTTTTGTGATGTCTATAATGTAGCTTTGAGCATGCAGGTGCTTTGGGGATGTCGGTGCCCTGTGATGTATAGACAAGCTGGAGCCCCCAGCAGTAAACCTGTAAGGCTCTTATGCTTTCAAAAAAGCTTTTCAACCTTTCCTGTAAAAAATATATAGCAGCAGCAGTTCTATTCTTCTATTATGGGTCTGTTTGTCACAGCTCCACCTCCAGCTCCACCTCTTGAAGCTCTACCAAACAGGCCCTATGTTCTATCAGTATCTTGGCACTTACCTTCCTCAGATCAATAACCAGTTAAGTTTTGATGGAAACTGATGAAGTATACAGGTTGCCTCTGGTGGATGGAACGGCCTATAAACCGCAACTATCAACAGCAGCAACAACTGTACATGAAGAACATGAGACAATCAAACGTGCTCATCCATTATCAACCTTCAGTGATTGGTAACCACAGTACGGTACGCCACAGCTTGAATTCCTTGCAGTTCAGGTAGTTAGTGTTACAACCTATGAGCTACTCCGTCTTGCAAAGTTCTTGTGTTGTAGTTTAAGAATGTGGCTACCCTTGAAAAAACAAGTTGCAGGTTAGCAGCCAGGCTTCTCCCTTTTGTTTGCCAGTGAACAATTTTCCCTTGTATGTATAGGCCACATATAGGCCATGTTTGCATAACATGAGCAGAACTGTCAGGCTGTCACACATTTGCCAATGTTAGGCTCACAATCCACTATCAACTGACGAGGCAATCGCCCCTGTATTTCTGAAAACATCTCAATTGGCAACATGAAAAGTGTATACGGTACACTAATACCTAAAGATACTACATAGACACCAACTATAATTTGTTAATAAGGCTGGCACAATCTCCTTCTTGGGTACAGAGATCTTAATTACATGTTACGGTACTGAGTTTATTTAATACGAGTATAAGACATGATCTCCTAGAGATCTTACATGTTATACCTAGTTTTCTTAAAAGGCAAGATGAATTATAATGTTCTGTCAGACAACTGGAAATTGCAAATCAACATACAGATTTATAGTGAATCAAAATATTGTGGTGTCACTGGATGTGAGCCTCCTGTGATAGCATTTAGTAGTCTTGGTAATGGAGGCATGTCGAGTTCAAGTAGACCCTCAAGAGACTGTACCACCTCGCCCATTGTTGGTCGATCAAATTTGTTATCTTGAATACACCAGCATGCAATTTTGCAAGCTCTTTCAACCTCAACGAGGTTCACACCGCCTTCCAAACTAGCATCCACAAGACTTCCAACGTCTCCATTGAGAAGCTTGCGTGCAGCTTGCATGGGAAAAAAGAATGAATAATCACCATCCCTGAAATTTTCATGACTTGAGTTCCTTCTTCCCGATATGATCTCAAAAAAGACCATCCCGTAGCTGTAAACATCTACTTTAGATGTAACAACTGTTCCACTAATCCATTCAGGAGCCAGATATCCAAAAGTTCCTCTCATTGTAGTCATAGCACGGCTAAATTCTCTCCCCAAAATCTTTGCCATTCCAAAATCTGCAATTTTAGGCACATAAGATGCATCCAGAAGTATATTCTCTGGCTTGATGTCACAATGTATGATGCAATCCCGACAACTAGTATGCAAGTAGGCAAGGCCTCTGGCAACTCCAATAGCTATTTGATATCTAGTAGTCCAATCCAAAACTATATCATTAGCCTTGAATAAACACACATCAAGGGAGCTGTTTGGCATGTATTCATACACAAGTAACCTATTATCACCTTCGCAACAAAACCCGACCAATTTAACTAAGTTAATACGTTGGATGATTCCAATTGAATTCACTTCAGCCCTGAACTGCTTCTCTCCTTGACGGGCACCATCAAGCCTTTTCACTGCTATGGTAGAGTTGCTTAGGTAGCCCTTAAATACAGGATACCCACTCCGGTGCCCTCTAATTGTAGTAGAAAATAATCTGAACCGTTGATCTCATTTGATCATAGGGTTCAGATCTATTTCTACTACCATCACACTTAATGGTAGTAGAATTGTGGAGGGATATTTTTGTCCAAAAAAAAATATTTGCGGAGGGATACTTTTGTCTTTCCCGGGCTTCAGCTGCCGCCGCCCTGCGTGCTGCTCCTCCTGCTGGCCATCCATGGCGCCACCGCCACCCGCTCGCCGCCGTGACGACTCGCAAGGGGAAGCCTTCGTGGACTGGATTGCTGGAATGGGTTTCACGCAGAATTCCAACAAGATGGGCCTATTCACATTACATTAGCTTGGGTAAAGAGGAAGCAAAGCACAAATTTAATGGATCAGGCTCACAGAAGTTGAGCTACTTCTTTTCATAGCAAATTCAGATTCTTGATTCTGGTATAGCAATAGAGCATACTGTCCATCTCCAAATTAAATTCTTGATTCAGATTCAGAATCAGATTCTTGATTCTGGTGAAGTCATCCACGAAAATTAACATTACCGTGCCTGCTGATGCTGAGGCTACAGAAGCTCATGCTCTCCTGCACCAGCCTCCTCAACAGCCGGCTCCACGCACGCCTGTAGCCGTCGTCGCGGCTGCCACCACCGCCGGCGGTGTCGTGCGAGAGGAGGTGGAACCACGCGGGGCTCCTCTGCACCGCTGCCCCTGTGCGCACGCCGGAAGTCTTCAGGGTGGCACCAGAAGCTCCTGCGGCGGGGAAGCGGGTAGACGCCGGCAGAGAAGGGGAACTGAACAAGAGGGGGCGCCGGAGAGTATTGCCACCGGCGGAAGGGAACGTGATGCACAAGCGCCGGCGGCGGAAGGAGTCGCTCTCTCCACCTCCGCTCGATTGCGATGGATGAGGAAGCGGTGGCAGCACTGCTTTTCCAGAAACATCCGAGCGATCCACGACAAAAATAAATTAAGTGCCAAATTTATCCCAAATCTACCTCAGTACTTTACTAATCTACCCTTAAAAATAAACGGTTCAGATTAGTTCTACTGGTAGTATATACTACCGGTAGAAAGCACCGGAGCATTGCTCTAAATACAGAACCAAAACTGCCTCCCCCCAACTTCTTAGAAAAGTTTTTAGTTGCCCGTTGCAAATCAATATATCTAAATGCAATGATCCCAACGCCAACCTCAGGCTTTTCCAGTGTGAGAGTAAACCATTTCCCTTTCCTTCTCCAAACTATCAATAGAAGGATAATCAAAAGCAAAGCGCCACCGGTGCTTGCACCAATGGTAACGCCAGTTATTTTTCCACTCTTCTTCCTTTCTAAACTTTGCAACTCTTTCGCAGCAAGGCGAATGTAAAGAACTTCCCCGTTTCCATCAGAAGAAGAATCAGATAGTTGCTTTACATTGTACAACTCATCATGCCAAACAGAGCAGCCACTTTTCCCATAGGAATAAGCAGTACAGGAGCAGTTGCTCAAGCATGCCTGTGAGCATTCATCTGCACTGGTAGCAACCTTCACATTTTCGGCACTGTGAGGCAACCTAATACTTTGCACAGGGTAGAATTTATCTGTGAGGCCTGTTCTGTCCGTTCTACTGCCACAACTTAACGGAGTATTCCTGATGCACCCTCCTGTTCGATTGTCAAGCTCCCAGTCCTTTGGTGATCTTACAGAGAAGCCCTTCATACAGTCGCAGAACGGATCCTTATTGTCGTCGCAGATTGTGAATGGTCCACAGATTGCATACACATCACAATGAACTTCAGGCTGCCTGTAATAGATCAACCAGTCCTGCGATTCCTCCAACCATGTGGCCACCAAACCTCTGCCGAAGACATCTATTCCGGCGTGCATGATCGCCGTCTCATTATCCCAGGTGTATATGAAGTAAGCCTCTTGGTCATTGTGGAAAAATGTGAAATTCGGCATGAGAGCGCCTGTCATCTCCGGTGTTAGGCCAAAATATCGGCCGTTCCACTGTCCGCTGGACCAATACGCTATGGTTGAGTTCCATAGCAGATGACCATCCCCATTGGGCCCTAACTCCAAGGAGTATATACCAGGAGCTTGATCAATCGAGTTCTTCCTAGAAACAAGACGACGGTTCAGGCCGGTGACCTTGTCCCAGCCAATCTTCGCACTGGGGAAAAGTGTATCTGTTGGGTAGTCGAAGCTCTGCCAGAAGATTATGGATGAATTTGAGGAGCTTCGTAGGACAAGATTCCCGTTGTTCAACAGTATGGCAATGGTGTCCTTGGCAGTGATGTTGGCATGGGTGGACCATATGATCGACTTGGTGGCATGATCCAAGATGGCCAAGTTTCCATCACCGGATATTGCGAGCTCCGGTGAAGTGGGGTCCACCACCGGGTTATTACCGTTGGCAGTCCACAGTGGGGTTAGCTTGGGGACCTTGTTGAACCATATGCCAAGGTAGGAATTGTGGTTGGTGTAGGACTCATTGCCTGGCTTGAAGAAGCCGAGCGCGAACTTCCCGTTGTTGGAGACAAGCCTGTCGCTGCCGACGAGTGCGTGGCCGGGAGACACGGTGTCCGTGGCGGTAGAGCTCGTCGGAGTCCGTAGGTAGAGGAGGATGAGGAGGAAGCCAAGGAGGACATGATGAAGGAGAGGCATGAGGAAGCAGATGATGAACAAGGGGAAGGCGTGGTGGAGGACTGAGGGAAGAGTGGGATTGAAGCAGATGATGGTCCTGCAAGCAGCTTCAGTTGCTGTTTAGAAATCAGACCTTGTCAACTGACGACGTTGTGTTTAGCCTGAAACAAGCCTCGAGAAATATGATAGGTTATCTGAATAATAAATAATCTTCTTATCTTGGTCAGACCTCAACGCTGGAGCGTTTGGACTCAGGAATGATCCTTGCCAACTATTCCAGACAGAAATGGTTGTTTTATGCCTCTGCCATCAACACGTACGCAGGTGAGTAGGTTTATATATTCTTCTAAACCTTGCAAAGCACAGCAAGTTCATCCCACATACCAATGCAGTGGACACTGTGGACTCTACTTTGTTCCATTTTCCTTTCCTGAGCAAAAAAATGTTTCGGGTCCAAATGAAAACTTCAGCTAGTAGACAAAATTTTGTCCAGTTTCCAGTGTGGCACACGAGATCAAATCTGACATTCCTTCTCCAAAATCAAATCAGTTTCATGTTGAGCACAGGATGCAGGATGTCAACGCTCAGGTGCGGCTGTATATAAGTACGTGACTACTCCCTCCATCCTATAAAAATCCAATTTCTAGTTATGATGCGGCTAGAAGTTTTTTTTATAGAAATAATGGAATACTCCCTCCGTACTCATAAAGAAAGTTATTTAGGACAATGTTTAAGTCAAACCTTGGGAATATAAATCATAAATAACTCTCAAGTTGTTGAGTTTAAAAATGTAAAAATTATATGTATAGATTTGTCTTGAAAAATACTTTCATAAAAGTATACATATATCACTTTTCAATAAATATTTTTATAGAAACAAGAAGTCAAAGTTGTGTTTTGGAGACCATGCCGCTGTCCTAAACGACTTCCTTTACTAGTACGTAAGGAGTATGAGTTAATGCTGGAATAGTGTACATCTCTTCTTGGTCATACCAAAGCGTGTTGCAAACCATTCTTATGGACTTGGACGGCGGAATTAAAGGAGGCAAAAATGCTGAACACATTAACTATATTATCATGCCAAATCGGTGCGTACATCATGATACGGGACTATGGGTACTCGAAGGCGTGGCACTAACCACCAAATTTCCTCGATCGCCATGTGTACCAGGCTACCAGGCCCTGTTTGGTTCCATAGGCTAATGTTCAGCTCTCATCTTTTAGTCTCAAATTAGCCCTCAAGGATCCAAACAGGTGGACTAATTTTGAGCTAATGTGAATTAGCCCCCCTCAAAACATTAGCCCCTCCAAAGAGTGCTAATAGGGCTAATTTTGTGTGGGGACCATAAAAAAGCAGCTCTCTCTCTCTCCTTCTCTCTCATCTCTTTCTACTCTCTCTCCACCTTTTAGTCTTGAATTAGCCTATGGATCCAAACATATCATGTTAGGCTAATGTTTAGCCTACCAATTCATGACTAAACATTAGCTCTCAAAATTAGCCCTGGGCTAATCTTCCAAACAGGGCCCATGAGTGCTTGCCAATGAGCACAGCTTATCATAATAGTGTGATTAAGTATATTTCACCCAGTTTGACCTTTTCTCCGCGCAATCATCGGCTGAACCAATGGAAAGCACGCACGAATACATGGACTTTGGCAGATTGAAAATTGTATTTAAAGCGTAACTATTACTCCCCCCGTTTCATAATGTAAGACTTTCTACCATCACCCACATTTATATAGAAGTCTTACATAGTTAAACGGAGTAAGTAGGAATCTTTAATCCTGACTAATCTATACTTGTATACACTCACGTTGAAAAGAAAAGAAATAATACTTACCAATTACTAGGGGTGAAAACGGTACGGAAACTTTCCGAATTCCAGACCTATTTTTGAAAACGGAATCTGTCGGTCGGAATTTTTCAGAAACGGAAACGAATTTGGAAATATTTTCTCGGAAATGGAATCGGAAATGATAAGGGTAGTTTCCGTCGGAACTCGGAATCGGTCGGAAACTTTCCGGAAATTTTCTTGGAATTACTAGAAATTTTGTGATCGAAATACCCTGGATTCTTTTTTTAAGCACTAAATAGTGAATACCATGGTGTTTGTCTGTTATTATTTTAAAAAATGTTTGTTATGCAAATCTAAAATTATATAAGAATATTTTGTACTACATTAGAATTTATCAACAACATTACTCTTTTAAACATAGATAATTTATTCAATTGGATTTATCAGTTTGAGGGGGTTTTTATTCCGATAAATTTTCGTTACCGTATTCGCGCCGGTTCATTTTCGCTCCGTTTTCGGTTTCTATAATATTCGATTCCGTTTTCGTATCCGAGGTTTCCGATTCCGAAAAAAAATATGAAAACGAAAACGATAAGGATGGTTTCCATCCGTTTCTGTACCGTTTTCACCCCTACCAATTACTCCTTACCATTCGTTCCACTGGTGATTGGTTTAGGGCTTTGGCAGTCCTGATCCTCACGAATACGATGGCCTTTGGGCTTTGGCAGATTGAAAGGTTACTCGTGATCGATTTTTTTGTTTTTATTAGTTTTAAAGATTTACAAAAATAAATTCTCATTTTGAAGTTCTATAGAAATATAAATATAATTTGCCTTGGTGCACCCCATGCATCACTAAACTTTGCACCGTGGTAATTCTGTAGGTAGCCCCCTCCCGCGGGGTGCGGCCGGTGCCACGTCACATAGATTACCCTATCATAGAGCGCCGCGTGGAGTTTATTTTTTTTAGAGTAAATTGCGTCTATAGTACATTAACTTGGTATGTGGGTGCGATCTAGTGAAAAACTTAAAAAATAAGCATATATGTGCAACAACTTGGCTAGTGCGTGCATTTTGGTTAAAAGATCAGTATTCCACACCATACTTTTTATGCCATATAAAAAAGCAGCCACTTATTCCATCTCGACAAGGATCTACATGTATTATGTATTGCTTTTAATTTGTTAGTTATAATAATAATAAAATAATTCTATCGATTTGAAACCGAAAGATATATGATTATCAAAAGTAAGTGCATGCAAATAAGCATAATTTCCGAGCGATTCGATTAATCAACATATTCATTATCTTGGGCTATGAACATGGCAAAACACAAAATTGAATCCATGAGCTAATGATCTAGCAGTTAAGCTTATAATACCAGGATTAATCAAAAGGTACGTATCAATGTTTTTACTAAAATGCACGTGATTGTCAGTTTATGTACTACTCTACTTATTTTTCAAGTTCTTGCACTAAATCGCACGCATCTACTAAGTTATCGTACTGTGGGTGTAATTTACTCTTTTTTTAAAAAAAACTTTGAAATGGTAGTTTATTTTTGTAAATCTTTTTAAAATAAATATATTAAAAAAAATCCACGTGATCTCCAGATTCTCCACAGCAGGAAGAGCCACGAAGCGTTGGGCCGCGAGCGCAGAAATTTGCTTGGGAAGGGGAGATGGGCCGGCCCGGTGCTGCTGATGACGTGGCTTTCATTTGGGCTGCACCGCTCGTCGGCGTCGTGGGCGATGTAACCTCGGGGCGGCGAGCCGCCGCCGGAGATGACCAGACTCACGGCGGCGGCGGGGGATCTCTCTCTCTCTCTCTCTCTCTCTCTCTCCCAGTGGTAAGGTCTCGTCGTCTTACGCTTTTTGGTCTCTCTGTTCTTGTACGTTTTGGGGATCAACATCTCGTCGAAGAATATATATATATCTCCGTGTGTGCCTGCAAAAAACTGAAGATTCCGGTAGAAATCAGCGCAAATATTTGGGGGGATGCAACCTGCCCTGCATTTGATTGCTCGTCCTCCACCATCGTTCACCTTGGCCGGCGTTTGTCACCTGGCAAGAGCTGGTAGTAGCTTACCTGGGATTAGGGGCGCACGAGGTCGGCCACCATATTGTTCGTTTGCAACTTTTTTTTAGATAAAGGATTTATATAAACCCCGGCTTCTACATCCCGAAGAATGTACACTGCCAATCAAGTCCATACAAGAGCACTAAGGCTCCTCCCATTACATGGGTTACAAAACATACTTAAAAGTAACATAAGAAGTACCAAGTTCAACTAATATGCCAGCTAACAAGACAACCAAGCAAACTCAACAAACAAGCTTAAACAACAGTGTAAGCTTCAATTCTCCCTCTGAAATTCCAGCCATAATTAGAGAAGAATTCTAAGACCCTCATCTCTAACACCTTGCAATAATTTTTCAACATGTTGCCATCCTCTTCCTTAAGCAACAAAGACCAAAGTCTTGCCCAGTGTGTCCCTCTGAAAATTACCTGCATAAAAGAGTAAGTACATGGTCCATTAAAAACCACATCATTCCTATTTAACCACACCGCCCAGCACAACGCCGCTATGCCCACAAAAACTTGATTTTTTAGCCTAATGTTAACACCACTTAGCCAACTACCAAGTAAATGAGACATATTGTGCGGTGGGCAGATGCCAAAAGTGAAATGTACTGCGCTCCACACATATCTTACCATGGGGCAATCAAAGAAGAGGTATTGTATTGTCTCATGAGACCTACAAAAGCAACATCTAAGGCTACCTTTCCACCTCCTCTTAGCTAAATTATCCTTGGTTAAAATGACCCCCTCTTTTAAATACCACAAGAAGATTTTTATTTTCAACGGAAGTCTTAGCTTCCAAATAAAAGATTGCCTTGGTATCACATTTCCAAACATGAGTTTTTTATACATCGAGTTGACTGTGAAAGTTCCATTTTTACTAGCATCCCAAGTAAACCTATCCTTTTGCCCTCTAAGGTTTATATCAACCACGTTAGCTACAATCTCATGCCATGCTTTCAAATTATCTCCTATTATGGCTCTCCTAAAGGAGACGTTCAAAGGAACCCTCTCCAACACCTTAGCCACCACCACATTCTTATTTCTTACAAGATTGTACAACGATGGGTATATTTTCTCTAAAGATTGGTTTCCAAGCCAACAGTCTTCCCAAAATCTGATTTGTAAACCATCCTGAAGTTTAAACGAGCCAAAAGAGCTAAAGGTATCCTTCACTCCCATTAGACCTGTCCAAAAGTGGGAGTCCCCCCTTTGCTTTTGGACCTGCATTATAGTCTTCTTGGCAAGATATTTTTTCCTCAATAAGTTTTGCCAGACAAGTTTTGCCAGACCCCCTCTTCATTAATCAACTTAAATAACCACTTACTCAACAAGCACTTATTTTGAACCTCAAGATTCTGAATCCCTAAGCCCCCACATTCCTTGGGTTTACATAGAACACTCCATCTAGCCAATCTGTACTTCTTCTTGTGTTCATCACTTTGCCAAAAAAATCTGGATCTATAATAGTCCAGCTTTTTGATTATGCCTTTAGGCACTTCAAAGAAGGATAACATATACATTGCAAGGCTGCTCAACACTGAGTTGATGAGCACGAGACGACCTCCAACCGAAAGTAGCTTGCCTTTCCAACTACCTAATCTTTTCTGAAATCTTTCTTCTACTTCCTTCCAATCTTTATTAGACAACTTTCTGTAATGCATCGGGAGGCCCAAGTACTTTAGTGTATATGAACCAGTTTTGCACCCAAAGAGGAGAGCATACTCTCTTTCAACCTCTATAGCTTTGCCAAAACACAACAATTCACTCTTATGAAAATTAATCTTCAAGCCAGATAACCTTTCGAAAGCACTTAGTACAAGTTTAAGATTTTTAGCATCCTCTAGGTCATGCTCCATAAAAAGTATCGTGTCATCTGCGTATTGAAGAATGGAAAGACCATCGTCTACTAAATGTGGAATCACTCCATGAATCTTACCATGCTCGCTTGTTCTCTGAATTAACACTGCCAGCATGTCTGCCACCAAGTTGAAAAGTAAAGGGGAGAGGGGATCCCCCTGCCTCAGTCCCTTTTTTGTTTGAAAGAAGTTTCCTATCTCATCATTAACTTTCACCGCTACACTGCCACCTCTTACCACTTGATCAATCCACTTACACCACCTAGGCTCAAAGCCCTTCATTCTTAAAGTTTGTTGTAGAAACTTCCAATCAACCTTATCATAGGCTTTCTCAAAATCAAGCTTAAGAATAACACCATCCTTCTTTCTTTTATGCATCTCATGTAAGGTCTCATGTAAAATTATAGCTCCTTCCATAATGTTCCTACCCTTTAAAAAAGCTGTCTGAGAAGGCTTTATGATTTTTTGGGCTACCAACGCAATCCTATTTGCCAAGACTTTTGTGAATATTTTGAAACTTACATTCAACAGACAGATTGGTCTATACTGTTCGTTTGCAACTAGAGAAGATCGATCAATTTCCTGGTGCGTAAGACTGAAAAAACTACTAATATCATGTATTTTTGCTACATCTTTCCAATCTTTATGGTTAGTACAGGACATTATCCAATCCAGTGACATTTTTTTTTGCCGGGTCAGCCAAAGGTTGTCCGACCAATCTCATTAAGATTTAAAGAGGAGAAAACATTTGTTAGTTACAACCAATCCAGTGATATCTCCAGCCAGATGGGTGGTTAGTAGTTTTTATTTGACAAGATGCATCCAGTAGATGATGCAGAACTGTGGGACAAAAAAAATATCATAGGGATTATGGCTATCTAGTAAATGATGCGAATATAATTGTTGAAAAATCGAAAGTAGTAATTAGACCGCTTGGTTGAAAAGCCTAGGGGGATGAGCTTCAAAAGAATATGGGAAAGGGAAGTCGTAGGTTTAAACATTGCTATAGGCTAAGCAATGGTACCTGCTGTGTTGATTTCACTAATTAACATTTCAATATAGATCCACAATGTAGCTTACATTTACGTCTGACAATCTTATGCACAAGAAAGGTAAAAATAACCCTATCGATTAAATAGAATCATTTGATTGTGAAAATATTATTCTGCAATAGAACAAGAGCTTCCGGCAATAGCTTGCAGTAGTCTTGGCATTGGAGGTGTGTCAAGTTCAAATATTCCCTCGAGAATTTGAACCACTTCACCCATAGTAGGTCGGTCGAACTCATTATCTTGAATACACCAACAAGCAACCTTGCAAACTCTCTCAACCTCTGTTAAGTTGGCGTCGCCATGTAAGTTGGGATCTATCAAGCTTTCTACATCTCCCTCCAGAAGCTTATGCGCGACTTTCACTGGGAAATAAACATCTTTGTCACCACCAGTGATACATCCTCCATTTGAATTCCTCCTTCCTGAAACAATTTCCAACAAAACCATCCCATAGCTATAAACATCAACTTTTGGTGTGATAGGCACTCCACTAATCCATTCAGGTGCAAGATATCCTATAGTTCCTCTCATTGTAGTCAAAACTCGACTAAAATCTCTTCCTAGAAACTTTGCCATTCCAAAGTCTGCAATTTTGGGAGTGAATGATTCACTGAGAAGTATGTTTTGAGGTTTAACATCACAGTGTATAATGCAGTCGCGGCAGCTGTCATGCAAATAAGATAGTCCTCTAGCAACTCCAATAGCTATTTGATGCCTAGTATCCCAATTCAAAATTTTAATATCAGTTGGGAATAGATGAACATCAAGGGAACGATTTGGCATGTGTTCATAAACAAGCAGTTTACTATCATTGTCACAACAGAAGCCAATTAGTTTTATTAAATTTATATGTTGGATTAGTCCAATCGAGCTCACTTCTGCTCTGAATTGTTTTTCTCCTTGATGTGCACCAGCAAGCTTTTTCACTGCTATAGTTCTTGAGTCATGGAGAAATCCCTTGAATACAGAACCAAACCCACCTTCCCCCAGCTTTTCTGAGAAGTTTTTAGTCGCATGCTGCAGATCAATATATCTAAACGCAACAATTCCACTCTCACCTTCAACATTGTTTGATGTGCAATTATACCTCTTACTTTTGTTCCACCAAATCACTAGTGCGATTGCCAGCATAAACAGAGCAGCGAAGCTTAGACCAAGGGCAATTGCAATGATCAATCCTCTTCTGTTCTTTTTCTGGCTTTGCTCCTCTCTTGAAGCAAGGCGAATGTAAAGGGTCCCTCCATTAGTATCAGTTATGCCATCACACTGCTGCTGTTTTACATCGAACAACTCAGCATGCCAGACCAAGCAGCCACCATTGCCATAAGAATATGCAGTGCAAGAGCAATTACTTAGGCAAACTAGGGCGCATTTATCTGCATTTGTAGCAGCTTCAATGCTGTAGCCATTTTGAGGCAATCTAACACATGGCATAGAATGGAACTTGTCAGTCAAACTTGATGCGGTTTTGTTGCTAGCACAGTCTAATGGAGTATTTCTCATGCACCCATCTGTCCGATCATCTAATTCCCAATCCTTTGGTGATTTTATGGAGAAACCTTTCATGCACTTGCAGAACCCAAGTTCATTATCGTTACAGATTGTGAAAGGTCCACAAACAGCAAATACATCACATTGAACTTTGGGTTGTGCATAGGTCATTACCCAATCTTGTGAGCCCTCAAGCCAAACAAATGTCTTTGTTCGACCTGAGACATCCAAGAAATGATGGAAAACCACTGTCTCATCTAGTAAGCTATATGTGAAGTACTTCTCTTGATCATTGTCGACAAATGTAAAATTTACTATAAAGGGTCCTGCCATCTCTGGAATTGAGGGAAAGTATTGGCCATTCCATACCCCGCTAGTCAAATATGGTGTGGATGAGTTCAACAGTGTAAAGATGTATTGATTCGCACCACTTGGATCTAACTCAACACTGTATTTGCCAGGAGCTAGGTCAATTGAATTCTTCCTAGAAACCAGACGGCTATTGAGACCACTGATCTTGCTCCAACCAAGTTTTGCACCAGGGAGGAAAGTATGTGTTGGGTAGTCAAAGCTTTGCCACAGCGCATCGGATGAATTCAAGAAATTCTGTAGGACGAGGTTTCCGCTGTTCAATAGCATGGCAACTGTGTCGTTAGTTGTGATATTTATTCGGGTAGACCAAACGATGGATCTGTTGGATCGATCTAAGATGACGAGCCCGCCATCGCCAGAGATCGTGAGCTCTGAATTGTTGGGGTCTGTGACTGGGTTATCACCGTTTGCCACCCATACTGGAGTTAGCTTGGGGATTTTGTTGTACCATATGCCTAGGTACCAATTTAGGGTGTTATGAGAGGACTTACTGCCAGTCTGGAAGAAGCCGAGCGCGAACTTGCCGTTGCTGGATATGAGCTTGCCGTTTCCAAAGAGCGCTTGCGCAGGTGTCATGGTGTCCATGGCAGCACAAGATGCAGAGATGTGTAGTGACAAGAGTAATAATCCAAGAAGGGTGAGGGCGAGAGGCATTCTGAACGAGAAATTGGGATGGATGGATGCAGAGTGTTGGTTAGGAATGAGAACTGCAGAGCCACAGCTCCTCCCCTTTATATTTTGTTTGTGCTCAGTTTGCTTGGGATGCCAATTTTAGACTCCATTACCTGCTACAAATGGGTAAGTTTGGTCAATGAATCTGTTCGTTTGTCACCTGTATGACTACGTAACTGTGAATGCATGCTGCAGGACAGATAGAAAAACATCATTTTCATACAATCGTAGTGATCAATTTATAACTAACCACTGCACTTTATTTTTTTTTTCAGAGATCGTTTTCTTGCCCTGTCAGCCGTGTGAGCCATGAAGTAGCTCCCTCAAATGTGAAAGAGAATGGAATCGTAACTGGGGTGGCACAGGTGTGTTGAAAAAGAAAAAAAAAAGAATGCTTGATCGGCCTTGGAAATAATGGAGACAAATAATGAAAAATGCCTTGACTTGGTCATGCCGTTTAGTGCTTAATCACGAGTACTCAAAGCTGGTACTGACCATCTGATTGAATTGACCTGCTCACGATAGGCAACTCCATCTTTTAGGCTTAGTTCGTTTAAATTAGTGCTAGATTGTTGAAAAGGGATATTTGCTACACAATTTAAAAATACTTTTTTTTCAAAAAAAAGAACTTTATTCCACTGTATTTTTTAAGTTTATTTATTAAAATATTTAATCTATCACTATAATCAAGTAATAATGCGGGGCAACCATCTACTCAACAATCTGTTTTAAACCGAGCCTTTGCCAGGCTACTTCAGTAGTTTTATTGAGCTCGTTGCTGCTGAGAGTTTGGTATGCAGCTCGACCTTTATCAGCCGAGAGTTTGAGTTTTACTTCTTCGCATCCTGCAAAATTCTGTCATGTTGAAATATGCTGCAACTCTAACGATTTCGTTTACAACCCTCTTTATTAAGTAGTACTTTTGAAGAGATTGATGCAGACTGTATATATATTGTATAAATTAACTATTAAGTTGACTATAGATAATTTAAAGCCAGCGGTTGGCTATACTATTAAACTTGCTCTTAGTGAGGTCAAACAACGCGGGTGCAACGCGGGTGCAGACACCGCATCACAGTTTTTTTAGCTCGCGGAATTGTAGGACTTTTCAAAAGTCTAAACAGATTCTCAGTCCGTATTTTACCGTATTTTAATGTATAATGTCATTGACTTTTTATATACGTTTGACCATTCATCTTATTAAAAAAATTATGTAATTATTATTTATTTTATTGTGACTTGTTTTATCATTAAATGTTATCTCTGTAAGCATGGTGTCTAAACATTAATGTACCAAAATAATATTTCTTTCCTTTCTCTCGTATCCATGCAACAATTCTTTTTTTTTTACTAATTGCTAAGAGGGCTTAGATAGCAACCATATTTTTATTTTCATCCCCTCTTTTTCTTCCATGTAATCAAATTTTACTTACATGATAATAGAGAGAGAGTTTACTTATAAAGATCATTGTACCTGGCCTAAGCAATATAATTGAAGAGTCACATTCTAGCGTAGGCCACACCCAATTAAGACTTTAGAGTAAGGATGAAAATATCAGGAAAGGGTTACTATTTTCTTGAACAATACAAACCAAACGGTAGAGCCAGAAACGAAAATGATACCGATTCTACCGTAATATCGGAAAATATCATGAACGAAGCTACTCCCTTTGTCCCAATATGATCATCCACTAAACAAAAGGACACCTAGACCAAGAATATCAAAACATTCATCATTTATAAATTAATTATCATTCAAGCATACATGCATGCAGGGCATTACGCGATGCACATTTACTTTTTTCACAAATAAATAAAGAGATTTTATTAGATGATGATCATTTTGAGAAAACTAATGATCAAACTAGGATGGGGAAGTATTAGAATAGGGCATCGGAAACACCGTATCACAATAACAAGGAAGTTTCTATCAAGTTTGCATTATAAATTTACATCATATACACAACTACTATTGACGATTTAAAGCACAAACTAACTAATAACATGGAGCGCAGCTAGGGATGAAAAGAGGACTGACCTGCGAACTTATATGTCAACCCGTGGGCCTATTATGGTCCGACTTACCACGTAGAGATGCAAGTGGGTCGATCCATAAAATTATTTACACCCTCAATTCCAAAATATAAGGCACAACCAACCTTAACCCGAAGTCCAAGAAATAATTAATATCACATCATTGTCATAAATCACCCCAACTAGTACAATACATGCAACCAATAGAATTAAAATCTTGTGAGTGTAGGATTTAAAATAATAATAATTTATGGGAGAGAATGTGCTAATTAATTACATGCATGCATGCACGCCTTATATTATGAAACAACTTTAAAAAGTAGTTGTGCCTTAGAGCAAGGCTAATAATACAACCGACCTGCTAGCTATAAGGACATTTGTAGCCTTCTCTCAGCCTACCTATATAATAGTTAGCTTGTCACAATTAATACAGGACCCACTTGTCTCTCTCACAGAGTTTTTGGTTCTTGTGTCCAAGCCGGCTGTAAGTTTATAGCCCGCTTCTCCTCTCTCTCCTCTCTTCTTTCCTCCAACTCAGCATTTAGCCGACTTATAGCCTACTATTATACTTGCTCTTATATTTTAGAACGGAGAAAGTATAAATCAAATTAATAGGTAACCCACGAGTCAATTCTAGAGTTACGTATTAATTTTACCTCTCCAACTCTCCAAGCGCAGCATGTGTTTTATCGGGCATTCGGGCATTATGTATCGCTGGACCTGTCGCGGCATTGTCCCGTTGTCCGTAAGTTAGGTGGGCTGTGGTGGGCTTCTTCGGCCACGGTGATGAAGACGATGGGCCTGCAGCCTCGGACGAGTCGTGAAATCCTCCTCCTCTGCGCGCGGGGCGAGCGGCGAGCGGCGAGCAGCGCCAGTCCGCCGACCGCCGTCGCCGCCGACGGAGATGGGGCAGATGTGCGACGGAGCATCTCCCTCCGCGGTACGGTCTCGCCGCCGCTACGTCTCCTTTGTACCAGTTGTTTCTTCGATTTGGGGGAAAGCATATTTTGTTATTCCACAAAATGTTAGCAGATGCGCCGCTGAGGACGATGCGAATCGCTCGAGATACTGAGGGATCCTTGGGGGCTAGCCCGGATGCTCGCAAGCGTGAGATTTGTGGGATGCGTCGTGCTCTCCGGTAGATTATTCGATTGGAAACCGTCGCCATTTTGTTGTTCGTTAAAAGGAAAAATAGATTTGAACATATTAGGTTTTTCTTTTCCTACTATTTTTGTCAGTACTTTGTTCGAGGGAAAGAATGCTGTATTTATGGTTCATCGTTCACTGAACAAGCGAATCGTAAGATTGGCAGTGTTAACTTCGTTGGGCATTTGGGCCTAACTCATAGTACAGTAATACTATAGTCTTACTGGAAACAAACAAGACACCAGTTCATACCATTGAGCTTGCTCTGATCTATCTTTGTACCAGGGAGAAAGTTACTTGTCAGGTGCTCAAAGCAGCGCTACAGATGGTTTTGATTTCTACAGTGAATGGAAGGCATTTGTGCTATTTGATTTCTACAGTCGCAATGGAAGGCTTCTTGTTGTGTATTGTTTTTTTTCATATATCCCATGCAGTGTGTCATTGGATTGGATGCCATTTCACGATGAACAGAATTGAAGTAAGCATGATGAGAGATGCAGCCTTCTCTATCCAGTTTATGTACTAAGAGAAAATTTAATTATAACAATACATATACTAAAATATATTCAGGGTTCAGACTTCAGACAACTACTGAAGGGAACCTCTCAGGTTTACATCAAACCTATCTTCATGTCAAGAGTTAATTGGCTGGTGCACTGCTTGTTGTAAAGCTTATTCTGTCCAGGTACCCATCAACTAGCTCTACATATGAAAAAAAAATCCAGCTAGGAATGTTGATGTGTCAACTTCTTTTGAAGCTTCTTGCAGTTACCTTGCTTCTTGTGACGACTTGTGAGGCTTGGCACATGCACACAACAACTACTTGTGAAGCTAATCCAACTCTACTTAGCTGGTTATTACCATCGACTTGCCTTGACCTGTTCACCAAAGGTAACTTTTGGTTTAGCAGCGGCAGTTCTATTCTTCTATTATGTTCTGTTATTTACTCATCTTGGCACTTATCTTTCTCAGATCAATAGTTTTGATGGAAACTGATGCAGTATACAGTTTGCCTTTGGCAGATGGAATGGCCTATAAATCGCAACTAACTGCAGCAGCAGCAACAACTGTAGATGAAGAAAGAGAGACAATCAAACATGCTCATCCGTTATCTTCCTTCAGTGATTGGTAACACACACCCCAACTTTTAAATTCCTTGCAGTTAAGGTAGTTAGTGTTAGGATTTGCGCGTAATTCTGGCTTACAAAGTTCTTGTGTTATAGTTGTAGAATGTGGCTATCCTTGAAAATACAAGTTGCAGCTTAGCAGCCAGGCTTCTCCTTTTTGTTTGCCAGTGAACAATTTAGCCTTGTATTTATAGGCCATATATAGGCCATGTTTGCAACTTTGCATAATATGAGCAGCATAGTTGTCAGGTTGTCACACATTTGCCAATGTTAGGCTCAACAATATACTCTCTCAACTGACAAGGCAATTGCGCCTGCGTGTCCGGAAACATCTCAATTGGCAACATGAAAAATGTATACGGTACACTAATACCTACAGATCTTACATAGACACAAAATATATTTTGTCTGGAAGGCTGGCACGATCTCCTGCTTGGGCACAGAGATCTTAATAACTACGAGTTTATTTAACATGATCTCTTAAAGACCTTAGATGTTATCCCTAATTTTCTAAAAAGGCAAGATGAATTATAATGTCCTGGTAGACTACTTTTAATTGTGAATCAGCATATAGATTTACACTGAATCAAAATATTGTGGTGTCACTGAATGTGAGTCTCCTGTGATAGCACTTAGTAGTCTTGGCAATGGAGGCATGTCGAGTTCAAGTAGACCCTCAAGGGCCTGTACCACCTCAGCCATTGTTGGTCGATCAAATTCGTTGTCTTGAATGCACCAACATGCAATTTTGCAAGCTCTTTCAACCTCCACTAGGTTCATGTCACCTTTCAAACTGGCATCCACAAGACTTCCGATGTCTCCATTGAGAAGTTTGCGTGCAACTTGCATGGGAAAAAAGAATGAATAATCACCATCCCTGAAACATTCATGACTTGAGTTCCTCCTTCCTGATATGATCTCAAACAAAACCATTCCATAGCTGTAAACATCTACTTTTGATGTAACAACTGTTCCACTAATCCATTCAGGAGCCATATATCCAATAGTTCCTCTCATTGTTGTCATTGCACGGCTAAATTCCCTCCCCAAAATCTTTGCCATTCCAAAATCTGCAATTTTAGGCACATAAGATGCATCGAGAAGTATATTCTCTGGCTTGATATCACAATGTATGATGCAATCCCGACAACTATTATGCAAGTAAGCAAGACCTCTTGCAACTCCAGTAGCTACTTGGTACCTAGTAGTCCAATCCAAAACTATATCATTAGCCTCGAACAAGCACACATCAAGGGAGCGGTTTGGCATGTATTCATACACAAGTAACCTGTTATCACCTTCACAACAAAACCCAATCAGTTTAACTAAGTTAATATGCTGGATGATTCCAATTGAATTCACTTCAGCCCTGAATTGCTTCTCTCCTTGATAGGCTCCATCGAGCCTTTTCACGGCTATGGTAGAGTTGCCTAGGTACCCCTTAAATACAGAACCAAAACTTCCTCCCCCCAACTTCTCTGAAAAGGCTTTAGTTGCCCGTTGCAAATTAATATATCGAAATGCAACGACCCCAATGCCACCCTCAGGCTTTTGCAATGTGCGAGTAAACCATTTCCCTTTTCTCCTCCAAAGTATCAGTAGAAGGATCATCAAAAACAAAGTGGCAGTGCTTGCACCAATGGCAAAACCACTTATATTTCTATTCTTCTTCTTTTCTGAACCTGGCAACTCTTTTGCAGCAAGGCGAATGTAAAGAACTCCCCCATTTCTGTCTGAAGAAGCATCAGATAGTTGCTTCACGTTATACAACTCATCATGCCAAATGGAGCAGCCATCTTTCCCATAGGAATATGCAGTACAGGAGCAGTTGCTCAAGCAAACCTGTGAGCATTCATCTCCACTGGTTGCAGCCTGCACATTTTCTGCATTGTGGGGTAACCTAATACTTTGCATAGGGTAGAACTTATCTGTGAGGCTTGTCCTGTCCTTGCTACTTCCACAACTTAATGGAGTATTCCTGATGCAACCTCCTGTTTGATCGTCAAGCTCCCAATCCTTCGGTGATCTTACGGAGAAGCCCTTCATACAGTCACAGAACAGATCCTTATTGTCGTCACAGATTGTGAAAGGTCCACAAACTGCATACACATCACAGTGAACTACAGGCTGCCTGTAATTCTTGAACCATTCTTGGTTTCCTTCCAACCACATACCCACAAAACCTATCCCAAAGACATCTAGTCCAGCGTGCACGATAGCCGTGTCATCATACAAGGTGTATGTGAAGTAGGCCTCTTTGTCATTGTGGACAAATGTGAAATTTGGCATGACATCGCCTATCATCTCTGGCGCTAGGCCGAAGTATCGACCGTTCCAGTCCCCACTGGACCAATACGCCACAGTTGAGTTCCATAGCAGATGACCCTCCCCATTGAGCCCTAACTCCAAGGAAAATATACCAGGAGCCTGATCAACCGAACTTTTCCTGGAAACAAGACGGCGGTTCATGCCGGTGACCTTGTCCCAGCCAATCTTTGCACCAGCGAAAAGTGTATCTGTTGGGTAGTCGAAGCTCTGCCAGAAAATGTTGGATGAGTTTGAGGAGCTTCGTAGGACAAGGTTGCCATTGTTCAGAAGCACGGCAATGGTGTCATTGGTTGTGATGTTGGCACGGGTAGACCATATGATGGATTTGGTGGCATGATCCAGGATGGCCAGGTTTCCATCACCGGAGATTGCGAGCTCCGGTGAAGTGGGGTCCACCACTGGATTCTCGCCATTGGCGGTCCACAACGGGGTTAGCTTGGAGACCTTGTTGAACCATATGCCAAGGTAGGAGTTGTGGTTGGTGTAGGAGGACTCATTACCTGGCTTGAAGAAGCCGAGGGCGAACTTACTGTTATTGGAGACAAGCCTGTCACTGCCGGCAAGTGAATGGCCGGGTGACACGGTATCCGTGGCGGCGGCGGAGCTCGCCGGAGTGTGCAGGGAGAGGAGCAGGAGGCCAAGAAGGACATGACAAGGGAGAAGCATGGGGAAGCAGAAGATGAACACGGGGGAAGAGTGGTGGAGAAGGAAAACTGAAGGAGGAATGGTTTGAAGCTAGCTTATACACAGCACGATGCTGCAAGCAGGTTGAGTTGCTGTTAAGAATTCAGACCATGGATTTAGTTCAGCTCGCAGAATCGCAGGTCAACGTGGTGTTGTGACTGTCTGAGCACACATCTCAATCAGTCGTAACCACTAACGATATTGTGTTTAACCTGAAACAAACCTCGAGAAGTATGATTGGTTATCATCAGTATAATAGTAATCTTTGTCATCTTGGTCAAACCTCAACGCTGGAGCGTTTGGACTCAGAAATGATCTGTGCCCAACTATTCGAGATCAAAATTGGTTGTTTATTCCTCTGCCAGCCATACGCAGGTGAGTAGGTGTATTCTTTATGTGAACTCTTTTTTCAAACCCTTGCGAAACACTGCAAGTTCCTTCCCATTTTCCCAACACCAATGCAGTGTACTCTACTTGCTCCAATTTTGTTTTTAATGGTTTCAGGTCCAAATGGAAAAGCTAGGAGACAGAAAATTTAGGCTAGACTTTGTAGTGGGCACTGATGAGATCAATTATTATATTCTTATCCAAAAGCAAATTTGTCTGATTTTGATCACAAATTTGGACCACTCGATCATGAGTTCATGACCAAGGGATGTAAAATATCAACTTCAATTAGCATCTTCGCCGACATCAGAAAACCCTTTCACACACGGAGTTGCACAGTGCAGAGCATGGGCCATGGCCAACAACAAAACAGAAGTCCAAGAAGGATGCGGAGGATTTGGAGAGGAGGCAAGAAGAAGTGAGGGAGTCAACGCAAACAGTCAAAAATGCAAGTATAGGCGTCAGAATTTTTTGAAACGAGACAAGCGTAGGAATTGACTGAATGACGCTCAGTGTGAGGTTGCAACTGTGCTAATGCTGGAACACCGAAATCTGTAGTTTGTGCAACTACCTGGTATAAACTATTTTTTTCTTTTACTTGAGATCAAGTTGTTTTTTCTTTCCTTCCACATGTATGTTGATTTTCTTTGAAACATCTGATTTGAAATATGAGTGCACATGACAATGTGTTTAGAGTGTTTAGCCATGCCTTAAGTATTTCCAGCCTCATCAAGTTCCTTACGCAAGTGTTATAATTGGCAGATTTGTGTGGCGTGATGCCAATGCTAGAACGTTTTACATATGCTCTGGAACAGTGTGAAAATGGACAGCACTGCAACGTGGTGTCGCTTATCATTGACTCTGGTAATTGAGTTTTTGCTGGTCGTCTGTACGGCTACGCATGCTGCAAGTAAAAATATTGTTCAACAGTGCTAAAGTGATTATCTACTTCGTAAAAAAACAAACCTAGACACGGATATAATATTTTCTGGTACAATAAACCTATCTAGATTCATTATAATGTCACATTCATGTTTAAGTTTGTCTCTTGTTTTTTTCATGGAGGGAGTACTCTACTTCAACAGTGATGTCGCCTTCTCAAGAATTCTTGCATTGCCGATTGGGCGAGTGATTGTGTGAACTATGAACTAGTAGTATACGTGAATCTACGTATATTAGCAAATCATACTTCATCCGTACCTAAATATTTGACGCCGTTGACTTTTTAAAACATATTTGACCGTTCATCTTATTTAAAAGCTTTTGTGAAATATGTAAAACTATATGTATATTTAATAATGAATCAAATGATATCAAAAGAATTAATAATTACTTAATTTTTTTTGAATAAGATGAACGGTCAAACATGTTTAAAAAAGTCAATGACGTCAGATATTTAGGGACGGAGAGTATATCAATAGGCGATAGATTTGCCGCTCAAAATAAAAAAAGGGTAAGTCTAAAAAAATAAATAAAAGAAGGGTGTGAAAGGGAGCAGAAAGCTGTGGCTGGGCTTGCACTGCAGCACACAGAAGCGTGTTAAAAAAACGGCCACAGTCAACCACCAAAACTATGGTGGCAGGAGATCAAAAAAAAAAAAACTATGGTGGCAAACAATGATTAGCAAATTAACTATTGCCTTAACAACATTAATACATTATCATGTCACGTCGTCGCGTAATCATGGGTACCCAATAAGTTTGGCACTGGCCTCCAAATCTCCTTGAGATCTCCATGTTTAGTGAGAGAGAGCATTTTGTCGTTGAGCTGAGCACAAATCGGCGCACTGAATGGGCGTTGAGCGTGGTTGATGGGCCTTCTTTACGTGTATTTTTATTGGGAATAAGTTCACTTCTGGTCCTTTATCTTTCAGTGCCATGTCAGTATCTTGTCATCTAAAACAACTTAGGCTGTGTTGATAAGAGAGGAAAAGAGAAGATCGAGAACTATATTAAATTTAAAAATAGATTAATATGATTTTTAAAGCAAATTTTTTGGTAGTTCGGAAGCGTACACGCGGCGAACGAGAGAAATCTTCATCAATCATCATATGCCGAACACAACCTTAATACTGTCTTTGGATTATATTCGTGCTGGCTTTAGAAGATGAGATATGCATTATAACCGGTTTTGCGGTTGACCGATACGATTGAAACTCGACTCGCTTAGATAAAGGATGTCAAGTGAACTTCTTCCTTTTTATTGGGCTGCACCGCTCATCGAAACGGGCCGTGGCTGGGTTTCCGATTGGTCCCCGCTCTTGGGCCTCACCACGCGGCACCACGGGACGGAAGGTCCATATCTCTCTCGCATTATCTTCGTCGTCTCCTTGGGTTGTGTGGCGGCCAGCCGTCGCCGTCTCGCCGCCGCGACCCTCGCCGGCACCGGCGGCCCCCGACGGAGATGGAGAGTAACGGGAGCGGAGCCTCTCCGCGGCTAAGGTATGGGTCTCGTCACCCCTCTTCTCAGTGCCCCTGCGAGTGTCGCTGTCGCCGATCGAGCGAATCGAGAGACGGATATAGCATGTTTGGGATGGCTAGGGTTCAACTTCCGGTAGAAATTAATTAGCGCTCTAGAGAGTAGAGATCACGAGATCAGGATTATGGTTCCACTTCGGACGGCATTAACCGCGGTTGTCGTTGGCCGAAGTTTATACCGTGCCCCGTGTTGTGATTAGCTAACCTATCTCTCAATCCTCCCCACTCAGCTCTGTGTATCACTCGCACGTTCTGATTTCTGAAGCGAGAATTTCAGATTGCTACAGTAACCTGACGAAACTGAAGAACAGAGGAATCGGAGTTTCAATGGCGAAAGGCTAGTCTGATCAACACCAGTAGGGTCTAACTCATTGCAATACACACCGATAGCTGGGTCTCTTGAGTTTTTCCAAGAAATAATATGATGGTTTAGGCCGGTGACCTTGTTCCATCCAAACTTTGCCCTAGGGAAATATGTATCTGTGGGATAGTCAAAGCTCCACCGAGAAACTTCTAAAGAGTTTGAAGGGTTTGTTAGGATGAGATTTATTTCCACTACTCAAGTGCGTAGCAATGGTGTTATTGGTAGTGATTTTAGCTTGGGTAGACCAAATGATGGTCTTTGCTGACTGGTTTAAGACAGCAAGATTACCATCCTGGAGATTGTTAGCTCCACTGCTGTGGGATCATCAATTGGCTTATCCCTGTCTGCAACCTATGCAGGACTTAGCTTGGGAACCTGATTGAACCATATTCCTAAGTACCACTTGCTATTTTTTTAGATGCTTTTCTACCAGTCTCTTAGAAGCCAAGTGCACACCTGCCAATTTTTGAGACGAGCTTGTCGGTTTCGTCAAATGCTTTCCCAACTGAGATGGTGTCTGTCATGGTAGAACTTTCTGTGATGCGTATACGTAGGAAGAATAATAGTAATATAAAAATGAGGAGAGCTATAGTTACAAACTGTAGGATTGGTGATCATTTCTCAGTTCTGCTTTCATTTATAGTAGGGAAATGAGGACAAAAGAAAAACTAGCAACTTGTATATAATGATGGAGAGCAAAATGGTATATAGTCGAAAGGGTCTGTACGGTGATGTAAGATCTTTTTGAAACATCCACGGCGTGTATAGAAATTTTAGGTGACGAATGACAGTGGCTTGACTTGACTAGAAAATGGAAAAAATATCCTGCCGTGGGGATAGTGGTGCAAAGGTCCTATTGGCCAAGACAAAAGATTCAACTTGCACAAGCTATCATATATTGTTAGTACTGATCTGAAAGAATCTTGAACAAATCTTTGGCACTATTGCAAGCTACAAGTACTGTATTGGCTGGGTGTGAAAACAGTCTTATTTCTTATGGCTTCCAATTTCCACGAATTTACATAAATATCAGCTAAATACCATGTACACACACATATCTATACCACTATCTAGCAAGGTTTGTAATGAAACTCTTGTATCTTAATACAATGATGTGCACATCTTTTGCATATTCTCAACAAAAAGGTTCTTGGGTTGTAGTTGCCAAATTAATGTGCCTACCCTTGAAAAAACAAGTTTCAGGCTAGCAGCCAGGCTTCTCCCTTTTGTTTGAGTGAACAATTATGCCTCGTATATATAGGTGATATATAGCCGATGTGTGCATAATTTGAACATAACTGTCAGGATGTCACACATTCGCCAATGTTAGGCTCAACAATCCACTCTGAACTGACAATTCAGTCGCGCCTGTGTTTTTCAAAAACATCATATGACAATTGTATGGGGGCACACTGATACCTACAGATCTTACATATCACAGAGACAACAGAAACCAAGTATATTTTGTTAGTAAGGCTGGTTCCTTCTCGGGTATAGAGATCTTAATTACATGTTACGACACTTAGTTCATTCAAATACAAGACATGATCTCTTAGAGATCTTACATCTTATGCCTACTTTTCTTAAAGGGCAAGATGATATATAATGTTCTGATACATAACTTGAAATTGGGAATCAGTATACAGATTTATAGTGAATCAAAATATTGTGTTGTCATCGAGTGTGATCCTCCTGTGATAGCATTTAGGGTGTGTTTGAGGAGAAGGGGATTGAGGAGATTGGGAAGATACGCAAAACGAGGTGAGCCATTAGCTCATGATTAATTGAGTATTAACTATTTTAAATTTCAAAAATGGATTAATATGATTTTTTAAAGCAACTTTCCTATAGAAAATTTTTAAAAAAACACACCGTTTAATAGTTTGTAAAGCGTGCGTGCGGAAAACGAGGTGCTTTCTCCCTCAATGTCGTCCAAACGAACGCTGCCTTAGTAGTCTTGGCAGTGGAGGCATGTTGAGCTCAAGTAGACCTTCAAGGGACTGTACCACCTCGGCCATTGTTGGCCGATCAAATTCGTGATCTTGAATGCACCAACATGCAATTTTGCAAGCTCTTTCAACCTCCATGAGGTTAACATCACCTTCCAAATTGGCATCCACAAGACATCCAATCTCTCCTTTGAGAAGCTTGCGTGCAACTTGCATGGGAAAGTAGAAGGAATAATCACCATCCATGAAATGTTCATGACTTCGGTTCCTCCTTCCTGATATGATTTCAAACAAAACCATCCCGTAGCTATAAACATCTACTTTGGATGTAACAACTGTTCCACTAATCCATTCAGGAGCTATGTATCCAATTGTTCCTCTCATTGTAGTCATAGCACGACTAAATTCTCTCCCCAACATCTTCGCCATTCCAAAATCTGCAATTTTAGGCATGTAAGACACATCAAGAAGTATATTCTCTGGCTTGATATCACAATGTATGATGCAATCCCGACAACTATCATGCAAATAGGCAAGGCCTCTGGCAACTCCAATGGCAATTTGGTACCTAGTAGTCCAATCCAAAACTATATCATTAGCCTCGAATAAACACACATCAAGGGAGCAGTTTGGCATGTATTCATACACAAGTAACCTATTATCACCTTCACAACAAAACCCAATCAGTTTAACTAAGTTAATATGTTGAATGATTCCAATTGAATTTACTTCAGCCCTGAATTGCTTCTCTCCTTGACGGGCTCCATCAAGCATTTTCTCTGCGATGGTAGAGTCGTTTAGGTACCCCATGAACACAGAACCAAAACTGCCTCCCCCCAACTTATTTGAAAAGTTTTTAGTTGCGCGTTGCAGATCAGTATATCGAAATGCAGTGATCCCAATACCATCCTCAGGCTTTTCCTGTGTGCAAGCAAACCATTTCCCTTTACTCTTCCAAACTATCAGTAGAAGGATCATCAAAAACAAAACGCCAATGCTCGCACCAATGGCAACACCAATTATTTTTCCACTCATCTTCCTTTGTGAATTTTGCAACTCTTTTGCAGCAAGTCGAATGTAAAGAACCCCCTCATCCCCATTTGGAGAAGCATCAGATAATTGCTTTACATTGTACAACTCATCATGCCAAATGGAGCAGCCACCATTCCCATAGGAATATGCAGTGCAAGAGCAGTTGCTCAAACAAACCTGTGAGCATTCTTCTCGACTGGTAGGAGCCTGCAAATTTTCTGCATTGTGAGGCAACCTAATGCTTTGCACAGGGTAGAACTTATCTGTGAGACCTGTCCTGTCCTTACCAGCACCACAACTTAAAGGAGTATTCCTCATGCACCCTCCTGTTCGATCATCAAGCTCCCAGTCCTTCGGTGATCTTATGGAGTAGCCTTTCATACAGTCGCAGAACGGATCCTTATTGTCATTGCAGATTGTGAAAGGTCCACAAATTGCATACACATCACAATTCACTACAGGCTGCCTGTAATAGATAAACCAGTCCTGCAATTCCTCCAACCATATGCCCACCAAACCTCTTCCATATACATCTATTCCAGCGTGCATCATCGTCGTCTCATCAGACAAGGTGTATATGAAGTAAGCCTCTTGGTCATTGTGGAAAAATGTGAAATTTGGCATGAAAGAGCCTGTCATCTCCGGCAATTGGCCAAAATAATGGCCTTTCCAGTCTCCGCTGGACCAATACGCCACGGTTGAGTTCCATAGCAAATGACCATCCCCATTGAGTCCTAACTCCAAGGAGTATATACCAGGAGCCTGATCAATCAAGTTCTTCAAATGACATATTGGCCGACATCAGGGAACCGTTTCACACAAGTTGCACAATAATGCAGTAGTGCATGGGCCATGACCATCAAAAAAGAAGTCAAGAAGAATGTGTGGAGGATTGGAGGAGAGGCAAGAAGTGAGGGAGTTAGCACAAGATTCAACAAAAAAGGGAAAGACTTTTTATCCTTCAAGGGATGTACCCTCATGGCTTGCATGCTATTCAAATAATTGTGAAAAAATATGAAAAAAATGATAACATAGATCAATGTGTGATATATAAGTTCACAAACATGCAAGTTTAAGTTCGACTTATACAAACTGTGTATAATTGTCAGTAGTACATGTACTAGTTAGAGTTTATTTTGTTATTTTCTTTTATACTTGCATAGGTTTTGGAGTAAGATATCATGTATTGATCTACACTGTCAAATATTTTTATAATTTTTTAATGACATGCAATGCCATGTAAAAGAGAAGAGGACATCCCTTTAGGAGACAAATATCCATCAACGAAAATGAATGCAAGTATAGGTGGGATTTCAACAAGCATAGGATTTAGGAAAAAAAAATGGTGGATATTGAATGCAAACTAGCTCGCATGCAGCCCGGCGCATGCAACGGAAATAGATTAAATGGAGGAGCCAAGTCGCTCATCGGCTTTGAAGCCTCTCATCACATGAGCTCAGATTGCATTGTGATCAGATTGCATCGGCATCTCTACTCTGCAGCCGCTGCCTCTGCCGCCTCTTTCATCCGCTGTCCGTGCGACGGCAAGAGAGTGTTGACAGCGGCTGCGAAGTAGAGATGCCGACTTGATCTGAGCTTGGGAGCCGATGAGTGACTCGGCTCCGTCCTATTTGTGATGTGCCTAGAATTGTGACGATAAAGACGTCCGATCCCGTGGTTGTACATGGGGCAATTAACTAGGGCGGGGCTGTACAGGAGCCTGTTTGCATCTGCTCTCCACTAAAATTTGTTTTCCTTAATGCTCGAATATCAAAATATGTAGTTTTAGTAGTAGCAGAATCGCGAGATTTATTGTCACACCCAGAAATTCTCGAACCAGAATTTCTAAGCTGAATGTGCATTAAATCCCTGTCCAGGACCAGCCAGGGTACACAAACGACAATTGTTGACATACAGACCCACGTCTTACAAAAATATAAAAGATTACAAATGCAACGGGAAAGATAAAAGTGAGTTAAACCGGGAAGCTTGACTTCAGCAGCGGGCGACTCCACTCCACAGGCAAACCTTGACGGCAGCGACGAAACCAACCTCTCTGAGACGGCTCCAACTGAGAAGAACTTCAACTCTGGTGTGGGGGAAAAGAGAGCAAGACTGAGTACTACCCACTGTACTCAGCAAGTCATACCGGAAGAGGAGGTATGATGTAGGATATAACCAAAGGAAGCTAGGGGTTCTTTTGCATAAAGCAGACATTTCAAAACAGTAGTTGAAAGCAGTAAAACAGCTGTAGTAATTAATCAATATTAACCAATCACTGTCCAACGCTACACCACGTTGCAACAGGCCCAACCAACCACCTGAACTACACCAGTTCATTAAGCTAAACTAGGAGTGAGACTAATCACGGTGAATCTGGTTGATCGCCCATAACCGCGGGCACGGCTATTCGAATAGTTTTACTCTGGCCAGAGGTGTACAACTGTACCCACAAGACACGATTCCACACATGTCGCCATGCCCCGAAGTATCACCATGATACTGCAAAGGGGGAAATCGTGACAAGACCCTCCACATAACCCTCCCCTAACCATCCACATCACGCTAAGGTTTCACCCCTACCCCCTCAAAAGGCAGTGGGCGGTCCCCTCTTGCGCCACGGTGAATCCGGCAGCTGGACAACCGAACATCTCGGCCGACCCAACTCCATCACGCCCACCCTCGCCACCGGTGCCTAGGAAAGGGTCGAGCTATACTTCAGATCAAGCAGTTACCCACTCCCGCTTGTGGTAAGCACGGTAAGTCTCCCAGGGTTTCCCGTGAACCGGTCCTTAACTGCCATGGGTGCGACCAGCAAAACCATGCACTCACAGCCCGCCATTCAGAATATTTTAATTAACTGACACCCTTGCGGTGGCACCAATCTAAAGCTATGCCAATAGTGAGAGTCTATGTAATAATGTGATCCCCATTTGTGTCCTAGTTGAACTAAGCATGGCTAAGCATTTCCTAAGCCAACATCTAGTCATTTTCATACCCAAGTTATCAATGGCATAAGGTAACCAATATGTGGCTGAGGAATAGGACCCATCCCACATTACATTGTAAAAGAATGCAACATTTAATAGAAATGCGGGATATTGGTAAATTGGGTACAATATGATCAAACGTATTGCATGACTTGCCTTGCTCTCGAACTGATGAGACCTCAGCAACGTCTTCGAGAAACCGCGGATTGACGAAACGGCCGAAACCTACGCGACAAACAAAGCACACAAGCAAAACATGCTATAAGACTACTGAAACAGGAAACAAAACCATTTTTAATGGATTCTTTGCATTTTTCTTGATTTACTGAGACTTGAATGGACTTAAATGGAGCTCGGATGAATTACTTATGAATTTTAGAAGATAAACTGTGTTTTTACTAATAAAGAAAAAGTCCTTAATTAATTATTGCGCAATAATACCCAGGGCTGACATCATCCAAGGGGGGGGGGCGGCGCCGACAGGCGGGGCCCACGTGTCAGCGGCTCAAAGGGGAGAGGAAGGGGGCGCCGGCATGTGGGCCCCACGGGCAGTGGCTAAAGGTGGCCGGTCTACCGTGGACCGGGACCACGCGGGTGGTCCACCGCCGGTCCGGATCGGCCGGGAGGCCGATCGGACGGCACGGCGGCGGCTAGGCACGGCTCGGCTCGGCTTCAAAACCGGCCGGCCGGCCATGGCAACCGGCGGCGACGCGCACGGTTTCGGCGGCGGTTGCCGTCGTGGGGCGGGCGGCTGGAGGAAGGGGACGACCTAACAGGTGCGTCCCGGAGAGAGGGGAAAGGGGAATGGGCTGGCCCAAAGGAAGGAGGCCGAGCGCGGGAGGGAGTGGGCCGACGGCCCAATAGAGAAAAAGAAGGAAAAGAAAAAGAAAAATAAGAAAGGATTTTTCCTGGGATTTAAAATTGCACTTTGGTGATTTTTAATTGGTTAAAATTATTTCCAAGGTCTGAAAATTCCACTTAAAATCTTGTTAATGCATTGGAGCATGGGGAACTCAAGAAAAATTCCACCACGCTATTTCCGATTATTAATTGCATTTATTAACTAGGGATTTAGCTCTAGGTTAATTAAGATAATTTCTTTGGGCAATTTATTTAACCAATTTTTAAAGCAAGAAAAGGGGGGAAACTTCAGGGTGTGACAAACCTACCCCCCTTAAACGGAATCTCGACCTCGAGATTCGGAAGAGCTGGCGAAGAGGTGCGGGTGGGTGGCCTTTAACTCATCTTCTCTTTCCCAAGTGGCCTCTTCTTCTGAGTGATGACTCCACTGAACCTTGCAGAATCTGATTACTTTGTTTCTGGTCTTTCTCTCGCTGGTTTCGAGGATACGAGTCGGCTTCTCTACATACGTCAGATCTTCCTGAATTTCGATGTGATCCGGACTTGCCTGTTCCTCAGGAACTCTCAAACATTTCTTTAACTGAGAGACATGGAACACGTTGTGGATGCCAAGCATGTTGGAGGGAAGCTCAAGCTGGTAAGCAACTTCACCTCTACGTTCCAAGATCCTGTATGGTCCCACAAAGCGTGGTGCCAACTTTCCTTTGGTTTGGAAGCGATGTACTCTCCTGAGCGGAGTGACACGGAGATACACATAATCCCCTGTTTCGAAAGCGAGCTCCCTTCGGCGGTTGTCTGCATAGCTTTTCTGCCGAGATTGCGCGATTCTCAATCTTTCCCTGATAGCTCTGACTTTCTCTTCTGCCTCATTTAAAACTTCTGTACCAAACAACTGGCGTTCCCCTGTCTGATCCCAGAAGAGCGGAGTACGACACCTTCGTCCATACAGTGCTTCAAACGGTGCCATCTGCAGACTAGCTTGGTAACTGTTGTTGTAAGAGAACTCAGCATACGGCAAGCTTTTGTCCCATGCTCCACCAAAGTCAAGCGCACAGGCTCTCAACATATCCTCTAGTATTTGATTAACTCGCTCGGTCTGGCCATCTGTTTGTGGATGGTAAGCAGTGCTGAAATTCAACCGGGTTCCCAATTCTTCTTGTAATTTCTACCAGAACTTTGAAGTGAATTGGCTTCCTCGATCAGACACGATCTTCTTAGGTACACCATGTAAACACATAATTCTTGCCAGATAGAGTTCTACTAATTTCTTCCCTGAGTAGGTAGTGTGCACCGGAATGAAGTGAGCCACTTTGGTGAGTCGGTCAACGACTACCCAAATAGAATCATGCCCCGATGACGTCCTGGGCAAACCGGTGATGAAATCCATTCCGATTTCTTCCCACTTCCATTCTAGAATCTGAAGTGGCTGTAGCAAACCTGCTGGCCTTTGGTGTTCTGCCTTTACTCGTTGACAGACGTCACAGAGTGCTACGAATTCAGCTATTTCCCTTCTCATGCTGACCCACCAGAACTTCTCTTTGAGGTCTTGGTACATCTTAGTACTACCGGGATGAATGGAATACTGAGTTTGATGAGCCTCGGTTAGTATCAGGTCTTTTAATTCCTTGTTTTCGGGTACACACAATCTTTCTCCCATCCAGATTGTTCCTTGTTCATCCTCAACAAAACCTCGGGCTTTTCCAACTCTCATGTTCTTTTTGAGCTCTGCTATTTCAGGATTACTTGCTTGAGCTATGCGAACCTGCTCCACCAGTGTGGGCTGTGCCTCTAGGGCAACCACGAATCCGTGCTCAACTATACCAAGGTTCAGATGTTCCAAATCGCGTTGAACCTCACAACATAGTTGCTCTACCCATGCAACATTGCAGTAGCTCTTCCTGCTCAAGGCATCTGCAACCACGTTAGCCTTGCCGGGATGATAATGTATTCTCATATCATAATCCTTGATCAGCTCCAACCATCTTCGCTGTCTGAGATTCAAATCAGGTTGAGTGAAGATGTACTTTAGACTTTTGTGATATGTATATACCTCACAACGGTTACCGATGAGATAGTGCCGCCAAATCTTTAAAGCATGAACAACTGCGGCCAATTCCAGATCATGCGTC